GGCCAAAAACATTCCGATTTCCAAAATCAGGTCAGGATGTCTTCTTTCTTTGAATTCTTTTGAAAATCGGCGTGATTATTTATTAATATTAGTATCATCATTATTGTTATCTTCATTAATATTACTCTGCTTATTAACGTCATTAATCGAAATGTTTTATGCGACTCTTCTTTCAGTGTTGACCAACGGCAAATGCTCGACATTCACAATAAATTACAGTCCACCATTGCGCAGTTCCAGAATCTCAGAGAGTTTGCGCAACGGGTACGTGAGTTTCTTTTGGAAAATAGAAAACATTTTGTAATTTTCCAAATCTACGAGAATTTCAAAATATTTTGTAGTAAAATATTTTGAAATTCTCATAGATTTTCTCTCGGAATTTCATAAAGACTGAGGAAAAATGCACACTTTTTGTGAGAAGAAATCGAATTGCAGAGTTTTGTTGCGTATATTCGCTCGATTTATTTGATGGCCAATAAGGATGTTTTTGATGTGCAGTCAATTGATTGTAAAGCTTTAGCAGAGTTGGTTCTTTGATTATTCTTTGATTATCGTTTTTTTTGCATTCATCTTTTGTAAATGTTCAGTTGTCTTTGAAAAATTTCACGGCAGCACTGAAGAACATGCAAATTGAAAAATCGCTTTGAAAAATGGCATTTTATTTTGGAGAACAATTTCGAATGTTAAAATAAGAAAAGAAAATTTTCAACTTATGAGAAATGTTTTGAGGTCGTACGGTCTTGCTGTGGTACCGCGTGTTCGTTTTCTGGCCAGAGCTGGTGTGATTGGAAAACAGAACGAGTCAAGAAGTGACTGGAATCCGAGCGAAGAGTCTGAGATGGGGCGAGTGGCTGAGGACGGAGTTGGTGAGAAGAAAAAAGAAAAAACAGCATCCGAGTTGTTAGAAATGATATTGAAATCAGCGAAAAATCGCAAAGAACAAGTGAGATTTGCATTTTTTTTCGATAGTTTTCTTCTTTTTTTCCTTTGTAAGAGAGAAATTTTGCTTTATCACCATATATTTGCTGTAAATGTAGTGAACATTTTTACATTTCTCTTTTGTTACAGTATGCAATTTGGTGGAAATTTAGGTGAAAACTGAAAATGCTGAAACGGAACGCGATCAGCAGCAGTTGAGTGGTGAAAGTGATGGTGGTGGCGATGGTATGGAGGAGGAGGCAACGGAAGGGGATCG